TTTCCAAGTGGTCTTATAAATGACTGACAACTCTTAAACAACTGGTTTGCAAATAATGTTATACTTCATTTAGAAATTATTAATTGATCATTAACAAAGTATGAAAATACAATCATTAAACGCATTATAGATATGCTTATAAATCAAGAAAAAAGCATGTATAGCTATATTTATAACCTGCATATTAATGTCTATTGATGTTTTATAAATGATGTATTGACTGTTTACTCATGCTTAACTAATGACGTCCCACACAGTACACACACCTCATATCAAACAATTTTACTGTAGCATTTTGGAGAAATGTCCCATTATGCGACTACAGACGCCGATAAATTCCTCATTTCTAATAAGTAGAAAAAACTAACGATCAGTTCTTGTAGGGGACGTCCCATACAGTACACACACACACCTCATCTCAAACCATTTTAGTCAAGTCAAGTCAAGTCACATTTATTTATATAGCGCTTTTCACAATACAGATTGTATCAAAGCAGCTTCACAGTGATAACATGCAAGTAGCACAACACAGATCAACAACATTGCTAAACACTAAATAAATAACCCCAACTGAGCAAGCTCAAAGCAAGCCAAAAGCAAGGCGACAGTGGCAAGGAACCAAACTCCATCAGATTGGATGGAGAAAAAACCTTGGGAGAACCCAGGCTCAGTCGGGGGCCAGTTCTCCTCTGGCTTACATTCATATTGTTTAAATATAAATATTAAATATAAATATTGTTTATGAATCAAACGGCGCCATAACATATCGCAGGCGTTGAGTCGTCTCATCACAGGCGTTGAGTCGTCTCATCACAGGCGTTGGGGCATCCGAAATCCCGTGAGAGGCTGGACACAAAACTGGACCTGACGAACGCCGTTTTTCTCGGGACAAGCGTCCCGAGATAACAGCAGAAAGGCAGATGGGAAATAATTAGCATAGCTGATGTTCATAATAATTTCCGTTATAACTCACAAACTCTCCGTAACCCGAACTCTCCGCAACCCAACCATACGCGCCGACCCGTTTGTCTAAGAGGCTGTCGAGCCCCACTGGTGCGTTAAGCAGTTTCAGTGGCAAACGGTTCCGTATGGCATAACAGAGGACTAGAAGGTAAGCATTATGTGAATGCTTGACTAAAGAGATGCGTCTTTAATCTAGTTTTAAACTGTGTCAGCGAGTCAGAGGCTCGGACCGTATCGGGAAGGCCATTCCAGAGTTTTGGAGCTAAATGCGAGAACGCCCTCCCTCCTTTACTGGACTTCGATATCCTAGGAATGACCAGAAGCCTTGAATTTAGTGATCTTAAGGAACGCGGTGGATTGTAGGGCGAAAGAAGGTCCGTTAAGTACATAGGTGCTAAACCATTTAGGGCTTTATAGGTCAGTAGTAGTATTTTGTAGTTGATGCGGAACTTAATAGGTAACCAGTGTAGAGATGATAAAATCGGTGTTATATGATCATATTTTCTTGACCTAGTAAGAACTCTAGCAGCTGCATTTTGTACTAACTGTAGCTTGTTTATTGAGGATGCAGGACAACCGGCTAATAAAGCATTACAGTAATCTAGTCTCGAGGTCATGAATGCGTGAACTAATTTTTCAGCATCAGAAACAGATAGCATGTTACGTAGCTTAGCAATGTTTCTAAGGTGGAAAAAGGCTGTTCTTGTAACATATGAAATATGATTTTCGAAAGACAAGTTGCGGTCTAGTATAACACCCAGGTCTTTTACTGTTGTGGATAAAGTAACAGGACATCCGTCTATATTAAAGTTGTATTGTGAGAGGTTTTGTGAGTAGTTTTTTGGACCAATAAGTAATACCTCCGTTTTATCTGAATTTAATAGCAGGAAATTACGCGTCATCCAGCATTTTATATCTTTGAGACACTCTGTCATTTTAGATGAGTTAGTGTTTTCATCTGGTCGTGATGAAATATATAATTGAGTGTCGTCAGCGTAACAGTGGAAATTAATTCCATGTTTTCTTATAATATTACCAAGTGGCAGCATATATATTGAGAATAGCAGAGGGCCTAAAACTGATCCTTGCGGTACTCCATAGTCTACTGACGTTATCTTTGATTTTTTCCCATTTAAACAGACAAAATGAGAACGGTCCGATAAGTACGATCTAAACCAGCTTAATGCCTGTCCCTGGACACCGGTGAAGTTTTGTAGTCGATCCAAGAGTATTTTATGATCTATAGTGTCGAACGCAGCGCTAAGATCAAGTAGGACTAGTATTGAGATACAGCCTTGGTCAGAAGCTAAAAGTAAATCATTTGTAATTTTAACTAGCGCAGTTTCTGTACTATGATGCGGTCTGAATCCTGACTGGAATTTTTCATAGATATCATTTTCTTGCAAAAAAGAGCACAATTGAGCGGACACTACTTTTTCAAGTATTTTGGACATAAATGGAAGATTTGAAATGGGTCTGTAATTTGCCAAGTTATTTGGATCTAATTGCGGTTTCTTAATGAGCGGTTTTATTACAGCCAGCTTGTATATTTTTGGGACATGACCTAAAGATAAAGACGAGTTAATAATATTGAGGAGAGGCTCTTCCACTGCAGGTAATAGTTCTTTCAGTAGTTTAGTGGGTATTGGATCTAATAAACAAGTTGTTGGTTTAGATGCAATGATAAGTTTATTTAGCTCCTCCTGTCCTATCGTTGTAAAGCGGTTTAGTTGTTCTAGAGGGTCCATAATTGAAGCTGAATCATAAGACACCATAGCGGATTGTACATTTATAATTTTGTTTCGGATGCTTTCTATTTTCGCATTGAAGTAATTCATAAAATCATTACTACTAAACTGTAAAGGTATATTTTGCTCTGGTGATGTCTGTTTATTTGTTAGTCTAGCCACGGTGTTAAATAAAAACCTTGGATTATTTTGGTTATTTTCGATTAGTTTGCGGAGATGCTCAGCCCTGGCTGTTTTTAGTGTCTTTTTATAACGTGACATACTGTCTTTCCACGCGATTCTAAAGACCTCTAAATTAGTTTGTTTCCATTTACGCTCTAAGTTGCGAGTTTCTCTCTTGATAGCATGCGTAGCACTGTTGTACCACGGTGCTTTAATTTTCTCTCGAACCTTTTTTAATCTAATTGGCGCAACAATATCTAATGTACTAGTAAGAATGGTGCTTAAACTGCTAGTCATTTCCTCTAATTCATCTGTTTGTTTGGGTTCACTTAGCAGCTTAGATAGATCAGGTAAGCTATTTGAAAATCCATCTATAGTGGTTGGAAGGATTGTTCTGCCTGGTCTATAACGTGGCGCAACATGACATATTTCAGCAGTACGTATTATGCAAGTCACCATGTAATGATCAGTGACATCATCGCTTTGCGGTATAATATCTATATCAGTTGGATCGGTTCCATATGATATAATTAAATCTAGTGTATGATTTAGACGATGAGTGGGACCACTGACGTTTTGTTTGACCCCAAAGGAGTTTAATAAATCTGTAAACGCAGCCCCTAAAGCATCATTTGTATTATCTACGTGTATGTTAAAATCTCCAGCAATTATTGCTTTATCGACATTTACCAATAGATCCGAGAGAAAGTCTGCGAACTCTTTTAGGAATTCAGCATATGGCCCTGGAGGTCTATATACAGTAGCCAGGGCTAGAGATAATATAGATTTCCTTCTTACATCTAAGAGCGTAACATTTAGCACAAGTACTTCAAATGAATTAAACCTGTGACCTGTTTTCTGAGTAATATTAAAAATATCTTTATAGATTGTTGCAACACCGCCGCCACGACCGATCAGACGAGGCTCATGTTTATAACAGTATCCTGGCGGAGTAGATTCGTTTAGACCGAAATACTCATTTGGTTTAAGCCAGGTTTCAGTAAGGCACAGAACATCGAAGTTATTGTCTGTGACCATTTCATTTACGATAACCGCCTTAGGTGTGAGCGATCTAATGTTTAGGAGACCTAGCTTTAGAAATTGTTTTTGTTGACTGATATTTAGATTTTCTGGTTTAATTACAATAAGATTTTTGCTAGATCCTACACTAGATTTATTGTTTGGCTTCACTAAACGAGGAATAGACACAGTTTCTATATAATGTTCCACACTATGCTTATTAGTTAAGTTTGGACCGCAAAGGCTGTAATTTGGACTTTGACTCATTAGTCATCTGGTGCGTAATGTCTTGGAAATGTTGTCCGACAGCACAGCCGCTCCGATTCGGCTGGGATGGAGACCATCTGTGCTGTACAGTCTCGGTCTTTCCCAAAACAGATGCCAGTTATTTACAAAGTGCAGCCCCTGTTCATTACACAATGACATTAACCATTCATTTAATGCAAAAAGTCTACTGAACCTTTCCTGTCCTTGTCTGTACGTGGGAAGCGGTCCAGACACGATGATCGCTGCTTTAGGCGCTGTGCTGCGTACCGCCTCGATCAGGCTCCTGTAGTCCTTCTTCAGAACCTCCGTCTGCCGCAGCCTGATGTCGTTCGCTCCCGCGTGCAGCACAACAGCTCCGACGCGCTCGTCCCCGTTCAGGATCTCGGGAACCTGTGCAGCAACATCAAGAACACGAGCACCAGGAAAGCAGTGAGTGCGCACTTTACCTTTATCCGAATTAGCGCGGACATGGCGGACTATGGATGTGCCGATGATCACGGCGTCATCGCGTTCCGGCTCGCGAAGAGGGGAGAAGCGGTTCCGGGTGGAGATCTCGAAGACCGGGAGGGGAGGAGAGGCAGCTCTGGTCCTGGCTCGAGTCTTCCGCTGTGTGATCCATGGTCCATGTTGTTTCGGTGCCGGAGTGAATGAAGCCTTAGATGATCGCATCTTCCTCGGCAGAGTAACGTACGGCGTAGATGAACTCGGAGTCAAAGAGTGATTTGATTTGTTAGCGTCGGCGCGTGATGCTTCAAGCGTTGAGCGCCGATCCAGCAGCTCGGCTTGCTTCACCAGCAGACCGCGGATCTGTTTCTCGACGTATTCCAGCTCCTGCTTCACCGTGAAGAGCTCGAATGTGTCTTCATCTGCACTCAAAGGTAATGTTAGACACGCATCTGATATGTTCGCCATTATAACGGATGATCAGTAAATTAGTAGTGATACTACAACTATCACTACTAATTTAGGATTGAAATGTCGGAAATAACCAGGATTCAGTGAAACGGGTGTAAAATGAGACGATCAAATAGGCGAGAGGGCACGCGTGGAATGCTAGCGGGCTAAAGGCTAGTAGCCAGGATTTAGGGAGGTTGGATATAAGTAGCGATATCAAAGCAATCCAATTGTTTTTTATAAGGAATACTATCGAGGATAAGTTCACATAATATAAAAATAGAAAGTGCTTGTTTATAAATAAGTGGTAAAGAAGAAAATCAAGGATTTGTGAAGAAATTCTCCGGAGCTACAAACACAAACAACCGATCGCTCGCGCACGCGCATTTTACTGTAACATTTTGGAGAAATGTCGCATTATTCGACTTCAGAGGCCCATAAATACCTCATTTCTAATAAGTAGAAAAAACTAAAGGCCAATTCTTATAATGGACGTCCCAGAGAGTACACACACCTCATATCAAACCATTTTACTGTAGCATTTTGAAGAAATGTCCCATTATTCAACTTCAGAGGCCCATAAATACCTCATTTTCAATAAGTAGAAAAAAATAACAGTCAGTTCTTATACGGGACATCCCATACAGTATACGCACCTCGTATCAAACCATTTTACTGTAGCATTTTCTCTAATATAAATATAAATATAAAATATTTCTCTAAATAAAATATATATATCTCTAAAATTCATTTTATTATTAAGCAAAATGTCATGCACATTTATCTAACTACAAATTTAAAACGTATAATTAAAAACATTAACAAAAACGACACAGAACACTAAAAAATAGCATTTTCTGCATGTCCCAACTCTCTATCTCTAAACTTATACCATGAAATATTATGACTCAGTCACTCAGTCCAGTTACACTATTACATCCCCCGCTGAATAACGTAGAGGCCATATGCCATATATTTGATAACTTTTTGCTTAAACTCAATCCTGTTACCTTCAGTCCTGTTACTATTTGTTTCTTTTATTTAAAAAAATTAAATTAAATTAAACCACTATTTTTATCATTTTTGTTTGGCCCATAATTTATACAATTATTTAATGAATTAATTATTAAAAAAAAAATATAAGCTTGAGGCTTTGGTCTACTTTAAAATGAAAAAAAAATGCCTTTGTGTTTTTTATATCAAAATACACCTTGCTTTAATAGTGATTGTATTGGCACAAATATCAATTTTTTGATCATATAACCAACAGTTTCTTCAAAATAAACACTTTCTTGTGGGGAAAACAAAGGAATTAATTGACGTGCTACTAAACTTGCTTTTTAAATGACACATGATTTTCGGTAACAGGAATGAGAAAACATGCGTCCATATTCTGCTTAAACCTTGTAAAAAAATAAAAATAAAGTTACCTGAGATTGACCAATACAAATTTTGAATAGTTCAATATGTGTAGTATTAGATTCAAAGTTGAAAAAGATCAAAAATAAAGTTTATTTTTGAAGAGTTACAGGTAACACTTTACAATAGGGTTCATTAGTTAACATTAGTTAACTACATTAGTTAACATGTACAATATGTGAACAATACTTCTTGAGCATTTATTAATCTTAGTTAATATTAATTCCAACATTTACTAATACGTTATTAAAATCAAAAGGTTGTATTAGTTAACATTAGTTAATGGACTGTGAACTAACATGAACGCACAATGAACAGCTGTATTTGTATTAACTAACATTAACAAAGATTAATAAACACTGTAATAATGCATTGCTCATCGTTAGTTCATGTTAGTTAATGCATTTACTAATGTTAACTAATGAACCTTATTGTAAAGTGTTACCGAGTTACAACAAGCAAATGTCACCCATTCGGTGGAATGGCCCATATACAGTATATATATATATATATATTTTTTTTTTTTTTTCGTATAAAAATCATTATGTCTGTCCTCATAAAACATGGATACCCTGTGCGTGTGTGTGCCTTGTTTGTTTATCCCTTCCAGATGGCAGCTTCAGTCACTCTTTGTTGTGTTCCTTTTCTTTTGCAGGAGACGGGAGTTTTATGGCTTCTCGTAATGGGTCTGGACTATATTCCACACCTGACAAAATGCCAACCAGCTTTGGATGGAAAGACGTATCCTGCAAAGAATGCAAGTCAGACAATATCTTGCACTTCTCTTTATTACATGGACATAGACATGGCTGAATAATTCCTGTCATTTTCACTCACTTACTTTACAGACATTTACATTGTTCTCTCCGATACTACAATCAACACAATGGACACTTTGATGAATAATAATTTCCTGGCATCATAAAATGTTTGGCTGCGTTGAGTCATAGCATCCTTTTATGGTGAACTTCACAATTTTTTTCTCACAAAAATAGGACAAAAACAGTTTAATATTCATTTTCTGTTTTTAATGTATTATTCAGCACAAACGCCATTTGATAATTTATTTTCTTAGCTTTTCTTATGGTTTTCTTATTATTTTCTATTTTCTTATGGTTTATTATTGCAGGACTCATCCTTGAACATTGCAAAGACACTGGTTAAGCCCATTTTGTAGACTAGTTTCATGGTGAAGACAGCTTTCTTTGAAGCACTGGTTGCAAAACTGGTTGCTTTTCAGGTTGCATCTAAAACCAATGCCCATAGGAAATAGTTACTGTACTCAATTCTTGTATACAGTGTAAAACTGTTTTATTGTATTTCCGCTCTTAATTTCTTCATCTTTATTTTTTTCTGTCTTTTTCTGTCAAAAATTCATATGAATTAAAATCTATGAAGATGTTACATGAAGATTTAATCATGTGTAGTGAATCATCTAATGTGTAGTGAAGTGGCCAAATCAGCAGTTCTATATTTTCCCTTTCAAAATTCTCTCTGATCTCTCCTCACCATCATCCTTTCTTGTTAACATCTTCTGAACAATGGCTGACTGTGGCAGTGGTTTGTAAATAGTGTGGGTGGACAGCCTTTCTCTTTCAAACTCACTCCTTATGAATGATCACTTTCCAGCTTCCACCACAGTGTACTGATCTGAGATCAGCCGGTTCTTTCCAAATTCAAACTTTTAACTTAGTCACACAGACACAGGTGCTCTCAAATCAGCTATAAAGTGCAACTTTCACCAAGAGCCATCAAAATGGGGGATTTTCACGCCTGAATCACTCCCTATTCTAATCCTGCTTGCTAAACGCTTCATTTTGGGGCTCTTGTTCATATTCAGACACCCATAAGGGAAAGTCTATTCATTGGATCAAAGGCTTGAGTGGTTTTCTTTAAGGATGGAATAAAAACTCCTGAGAGAGTGTGTCTGCTGGACAGCTCAGCGTTAGTCAGGCGTGTTGTCGGCTTTAAGAGTGAATAACACCAGCCTCTTTTGTATAATGAACACATTCAGCATGATAAAGAGTCTTTATGTATGGCAAGCAGTTTTAACTTTTAATCATTCACAGGATATGAATTTTTGATATCAAGAATTACATTTTCACTGGTTAAAATAATAGTTCCCTTTTGTAGTCACTCCGAGTTACGTCAGGAGTGACGGAGAATGGGGGTTTCGCATAGAAAATGCCTTGGGGCTGTGGAATTTGCATAGCGTACTCCGCCCCACCCCGTGGGTAAAAAAAGGAGGAAGTGAACGCAACCGCAGTATGTTTTCGCTTCGAAGCCAAGAGACTTCTTCACTCCTAAAGCCATTTCTCACTGACAAGACTCTTCGAGACGAGCGTCCTCTTCAGTGTTGGTGTGACGGGGGTGCCCAGCGAGATTCTGCATTGCCTGCGTTCTGAGCAGTGGTTTGCCAGACTTTGCGCTCCCTGGTCGCCTCAGCGCTGAAAGAGTGAATTTCCTCCTCTCTTCTGAAAGAGCTGCACGTGGCACGTCTTTTTAAAGATGGTTCGCCCGTGTTCTTCTGGGTGCGGTCGATTCATGTCGTCTTCTGATGGTCACGATCGCTGCTCTGTGTGTCTGGGCATTCAGCATGCAGCTGCAGCGTTCGTGGATGACTCATGTTCCGTGGGGACATGACCATCTCTACACTGCGATCTAGACTCAATGATCTGACAAAAGTGAGAGTCCCCTTATCCGCTACTCGTTCTGCTTCTTCCACGAGAAGCTCTTCGACTCGCGGACAGGGTGATCTGACGGTGACGGTGTGGAACAAAAACCCGACGAGAGAACCTCGGGCCACACCCCCCGCTCCGGTGTTAGAGCCAGCGAGCGCCGAATCGATTCAGGCGACTGCCTCTTCGCAGGTACCGTCTGTTTCGTTCGGCGCTCCAGAGGATGATGCGATGTCGATCGCAGCATCACAGCGCGGGCTTGAGTCCTTGGGAAGTGAGGATGCGGCTGCGTTGCCTCCTTCGGGAGCGCCAGCGGTGCCCGTGTCTGATCCCGAGATGCCCCGATCTCTCATGGATGGATAATTGGTTTTTGGGTAAAGCTGCCGCCGCAAGGCCACAGCCGACCCCAATTCATTTTTTCCCCGAGCTGCATGCGGAACTGACGCGCACTTGAAAGGCTCCTTTGACCTCCCGAGACCGCGCTCCAGCTTCCCCCGCTTTTCCTCCCCTCGACGGTGCGGCTGCCCGTGGGTACGCTGGGATTCCTCCGGTGGAGCGCTCTGTTGCGATGCAACTGTGTCCACAGAGCGCGTCCTCCCGTGGGACTCCTAAGCACCCATCCAAAGCCTGTAGGTTCTCGTCGTCTATGGCGGCGCGTTCCTATAGAGCGGCGGGACAGGCAGCCTCCGCCCTGCATGCAATGAGCACTTTGCAGGTTTTCCAAGCCAAACTGCTCAGAGATATGCACGAGGGGGGGACTGACCAAACAGCTTTTAACGAGCTGCGAGCTGCCACTGACCTAGCTCTCCGGGCGACGAAAGTGGCCGCTCGCTCCGTTGGTCAGGTGATGGCCACTAGTGTGGTCCAGGAGCGCCACCTATGGCTCAACCTGGCAGACACGCGGGAAGCGAGCGGACTCGTCTGCTCGACGCCGCCCTCTCCCAGGTTGGCCTGTTCGGCGGTGCAGTCGAGGACTTCGCCCAGCAGTTCTCGACTGCCCAGAAGCAGACGGAGGCGATCAAACATATTCTGCCTCGACGGCCAGCTGCTGCCTCCACCCAGCTGTATGCTGAGAGGGCTTTGATGGTTTGGCGTAGGGTTTGGCCTCACACTCCCAGTTCCTTAAGGAGCTTGATGGTTGACTTGCCCACAAAGCCTCTGCAGCCGACTTCCACTGGGTAAACCTTGGCTTTCCACCCGCGTTGCTCAGCATCAGCTGCCAATTCGGTGTACTTGAGTATCTTGCGCTCAAATGCCTCCTCTACAGCATCCTCCCAGGGAATGGTAAGCTCTATTATGTACACGATGTGGAGTGATGGGGACCAGAGCACAAGGCCTGGTCTTAAGTTTGTTATAGCAATCTCAGAAGGGAAGTAAAGCCTTTGGTTAAAATCTGCCACCAGTTTCCAGTCTCGAGCCTTTCCAAGCTGGCTGATAATCGTTGTTGTGTAGCCTTTGGCTGTCTTTACCCCTTCTCAAATTAACTCCTTCGCATATGTAGGATGGAATGATGGAGGAGGCAGGGCATTGTTCTTTAGTCGGCTGCACTCCAAGGTGGTTGCTAGGCACTTCGGGACATGGTTGTGCCGCCAGGTATAGCGGCCTTGTGACAAGCTTGTCTTGCATCCAACCAGAATGTGTTTGAGGTTTGCGGGGGATGGACAGAGGGGGGACGTTGGGTCTTCTCCGTACCACTGGTTGAGGTTTGAGGGGGAAGGCAGGACGTCATACTGTATGTTGCGCGTAAGATGAAGCTGATGTGAAATGCTTCCATGCTCATCAGCTCCCTCCAAGAGAACTTTCTCCTCTCAACTCCCTCCCAGCTCATCCACTGGCCTTGCTTGGCTTGTGAGACAGCCTTTGCACACCTCGTTGCCTGCTCGTGCCGTCGCACCTCCTCGACGACCAACCGTCGCCGCTGAGCTGGAGCTGCTTTATGCCACGATGGTCTGCTCTCTCTAGATCCGAGGCCTCCTCTTCCCTGTTGCACATTGCCAATGATATCTCTGTGCCTGAGGTCTGACTTAAATAAATGTGACTTGAATTGACTCATACACGATAAGGCAGTCCAATCCAAACAGAGCAAAGGCATAATCCAAAGGCAAATATGGACGAGGCAGGCAAGGGTCATACACAATGAGATAAAGACAATGGCAATAGAAACGCTTGGTAAGGCAGTGAGACTGGCAATACTTTGCAATGGCCGGATAGCCAGGCCATCCTTAAATGTCTAGCAAACAGGAAGTCACCAATGAAGTAGAGGGATTAGCACACAGTCAGTAATCGGGAGAGGGCTTAACATTACAGAATCCATCCTCCTAGGAGCGACTCCTGGCGGTCTACGAGGACGTCCCCATGGTAGTGGTGCTGGATGATCAGGTCTGGCTCGATGAAAGTCTTTGATCAATGATGGATCTAAAATGTCATGGGCGACTACCCAAGACCTCTCCTCTGGTCCGTACCCCTCCCAGTCCACCAAATATTGGAGCTGGCCCCCTCTCCTTCTTGAATCCAACAACTCCTTTACCGCACAAGCAAGGGATCCATCTATGTCCAGCAGAGGAGGTGGTTCCAGGCTCTCAGTGTTGGGGTCAGCACCCGGGTGGACCGGTTTCAGGAGGGAAACATAGAAGGAGGGAGAGACATGGTAATTAACAGGAAGCTCCAATTTGTATGTGACCTCATTTATTTGCTTTATGATTTTAAATGGGCCTACATACCTTGGGCTTAGTTTCCTGCTTGGTAGTCGCAACTTGAGGTCCCGTGTGGAGAGCCAGACCCTTTATCCAGTTTGGTAGGGAGGATGTGGGCGACGTCATCTATTGGCCTGGATCTCCTGATTCCTGACAGCCCTTTGAAGACGTACATGAGCCGTGTCCCACAACCTCTCGCTACGACGATTCCAATCGTCGACTGCAGGTACCATAGACGGTTCTCCTGACCACAGGAACATAGGGGGTTGATAACCAAGCGCGCATTGGAATAGAGTGATACCAGTGGATGAATGTCTTAAAGAATTCTGAGCATACTCTGCCCATGGCAGAAACTCTGCCCAGCGATGCTGTTCCTGACGCAGTATCACTGTAGGTATTTGCCAATTTCTTGGTTCAATCTCTCCACTTGATCATTGGACTGAGGATGATATCCTGATGTTAGGCTGACATTGATATCCAAATGTTTACAGAAGGCTTTCCACACTTGAGAGGTGAACTGTGTTCCTCTATCAGAGACAATAGCCCTCATTTATCAAAAGTGCGTACACCAAATTTCCAGCGTACACCTTGCGTACACCCAAAACCACGGTGACTTTGAGATTTATCAATATGGACGTTGGTGTAAATCCTACACCAGCTCAGGAGGTGGTGTACG